TTTTGCTTATTCTTATCCACATCAGACTTGGGCCGCCCCTTTAATCACTGTCTTGGCACTGCTGTTTAGAAGGGAAAGTGCTAGGCTGAACTGTCGGAGTACTTGAGAGGGTTTGGTATACATTGCAAAACTTGTTATCAACTTATAAGAGTGTAATTTCATAACTCTCCAACTTGGGATACTAAGATTAAAATTTTTTTTTAAATGCTGCCAATTTCATAAGCCCTGCTTGACCCCAAACAAAAACAAAATGCACAGAAACGTCACGCTGTATTGAACTGGCCAGTGTTTGGCTGTTACCCTCTTGTGGCCTCTGTGTCCATGTTTTGTTGTTGCTCTGATCTCTTGTGCACACACTACTGTGATTGGGGGAGACCTATCATTCTTGGTGGTTTCAAAGGGGTGCTGTGAGGGGGGCGTGTTGTGGTGTGGGGTTAGCAGCCCACCCCTGAACTAGCATGCCACCAGACCTCCAGGACAAAGGCCCCAAACACTCATTGTCACAAGGAACCCTGGTGGTGTGATGCGATTCATGTCATAGGTGTTTTTGTTTTTTTCCCTAAACCATTTTATTAGGGCATAAGACAGACATCATACCATTCAATAGTTCAGTCATGGTCATTTTGATCATGATTGAAAATACCTGAATTTAAAAAATCCAGCAGTATTGGAGAGAGGGAGCTCTGGGCCAGGGAACCATTTCTGGCTCACAGATGAAGTGGATGAGTGGATGGGTCTTACAGAAAGGGGAGAGGCCAGCATAGAATTCCAAGCGCCCTCCAGGAGACACCTGCTGCTAGAACAGAGATTTGATCAATCTCCATTGTTTTAACTGCGTGCTGGTGATTGGAGGGGTTTGATAAATCTCAGTGACGCTAGGCCAAGAGTTTTAAAAACAATAGGAGTTTCTGTGCATCAAAATACTGCCTAATAATAAGTTCTCTTGTTCACAGAGGGCCTTTTTGCTACGATCAGGCTCTGTGTCCTGGTTACAGCTTCTGAGTGGCAGAGCCAGGTTAAACCACCTCCTTTCAGCCTGGTCCACCTAGCATCGAAGCACTTGTCTAACAAGTGGATTGCAGAGCCCCAGCAGGGCTCACGGCTTCAAACCAAGGGGACCATGGTGGGGGCAGCTTGGGCTGATTCGATATACGATGTGGAGTCCTCGTGGCTGCTCATTCCAGTTGACATCAGGTTGGATCCGACTCCTGGTGGCCCCACGTGTGAGCAGAGCTGTGTTCTTTAGTGTTCCCAGCGACTGCGTTTTCAGAAGTACATCGCCAGGCCTTTCTTCCGAGGTGCTTCTAGGCGGGCTGGAGCCTCTAACCTTTCGATTAGTGGCTGAGCACATTCACTGTTCAACCCCCTGAGGATGACAACTGGGGGTGAGTCTAAGAGTATTGCTGCTGGGCTTTCAGTTCATGAAAAAAATAGGTTCAATGATAACAGGGGCTTCTGAGAGAAGTCATTGGGTCAATGAAATTCAGACTGAGTGGTCAGTTATGGCAACCAATTTGGGGAATTCTGGAAGGGTCATCCTGATCTGTTTTCTCCAAGGACACAGGACAATCACAGGGGCTTAGTATGAAGATGTTTCCAGAAAATTGGAAACTACCCTGGTGAGGAGAGGGCGAGGGAAGTTGTGTGGAGGAATTGTGTGTCTCCCATCGTGATAATGTGCCTGCTTGTTCTTCGAGGACAGCCAGGTTTGTCCTGCAACAATTTCATCGGGAAGCCTCACCCCGTCCAGCCTACAGCCCTGCTCTGGTCCATGTAGACTCCCAGATGCAAAGAATTCTTAGGTTGCGGTTTCTGCATATAAAGAGGATTTTGTGACTTTATGGCTTCCCGTTGGATGTCATTGTGTGCTCGGACATCAAACAGGGCCAAGAATGATTGCACTCTGCCACAAAGTAACTTGATGTGCTAACATCTCCTTCTTATATCTTTTAAAGGCATACGTATCCAAGATATTAGCAGAGGCTTTCTCTGAGCCGTGGGATGATAAATGATCTCTTTGCTCATCCTTTCTTCTCCTGCATTTTGAAAATTTCTTACTACACTTTGTGGGAAGCTGTTGGAACATTGTCCACCAGTAGAAATGCCCCAAAGTAGGACCACTAGGAGATGCCTGTCGGGCTGCAGGGCTTCCCAGAGGGACAGAGATGAGTCTGTCTCCAATGGCCCACAACAGTGTGTGGGGTGGACATAGATGTGTGCGCCCATAGGGGTTATGGGAATTGGCCTGGGGTCCTGCAGTGATGGCCTGTTGGAGTTCATTCCTCCGTGGGTGCCGAGCTCCTCAGGCCGGGTGGCCCCTGAGGGGGCGCCGAGGATGTGGTGACTTGACTGGGAGGAGAAAAGCCGGCATCTTCAGAGGGACTGGAACACAAATGCTTTCGTGGCGAGAGAGGAGGGCGGGGGAGACAACAACGGAGAGGCCAGGGTGCCTGTTTCTGGCCCCTTCTCTCTCCCGCCGCCACCTTAAGCAGCCCCTGGAGCCAAACAGGAAGCAAGATAAAGGAGGAAAGAGATAGTTGAAACTCTGAGCCTGTGGTTTCCTGAGACACAAGAGACAGACTGTTCCCAGTCCACAAAGGCCTGTGTTTCAGGACCTCGTGTTCCCACGAGGAGCTTAGATTTACTTTCCTCATTGCTGCATCCATGGGGAAGCCAGTGGAAGTGCTGTTGAGAGTCTCCAAGGCATGAAAATGAGTCCGTCCTCAGTGGTGTACACTGATGTGGGCGTAGGAAGGCCCCTGGAGGCACGGGGGCTCACGTGGATGGACCTGCTCTAGTTGTTAGGTACCATCAAGTAGGGACTGACCCACAGCGACAACTGAACCAAACACTGCCCAGTCCCGCGCCATCGGTCATGGCAGCTGCTGCGTCAATCCATCTTGTTGAGGGTCTTCCTCTTTTTGCGGACCCTCGACTTGACCAAGCATAGTGTTTTTTCCCCAGGGACTGTTCTCCCCGGAAACATAATGAGAGTCATTTTGAATCGATCGAGGTAGGACTTTCAACATTCAAGCTATCATTCTGCATTCATGTTCTCCTTAGCAGCCCGGGTCCCTCCTGTGCAGTCTTCGGCGAGACCATGAGCTTTCCAGAAGCTCCATGTCTCAGTTGTGCTTTCTGAGGGGGGCTTTCTGCAGGCTGCACAATGCCCAGGGGGCTTTCTGCAGACCGTACAATGCCCAAGACATAGCTGGCCCTCCCTCACAGCGGGCAGCTGCTAGTCAGACTGTTGGTGGTGAAGTCTTGGTCCTCCATCGTGTGGTCAACTCTCCGATCACTCAGCCCCCACCCCACCTTGGAGAGCGGCCAGGTCTTCAGCTGGTCAAATGAACTGAGAGTGAATTCATGTTTTCTCAGATGCCGGAGCCCCTACCTACATGTACGAGTTTCAGCACCGCCCAAGCTCCTCACCAGAGAGGAAGCCCCTGTCGGTGACAGCAGACCACGGCGATGAGCTCTTCTCGGTCTTTGGAGCCCCGCTCTTGAAAGGTGATGCCTCCTGGCTGGCTGGGAGCTTGGCGTTAGTGTCTGGCTCCAGTGTCAGCTAGGGCACCTCCCCAAAGGTCCTCCTATCTCCTGGCCTTAGTTTCCTGGATCCACCATAGTAGGGCTGATCTATCCTGGGCAGTTCCCATCTTCCTCCTGCTCTAACATGCGCAGAGGATGTGAAGCCACGTGCCCTCAGCCGTGGGCCCTCTCAGATTCAGGCCTGGTACATCAATAAGTCAGGGAGTAGGTGCCCTGCAGGGCCTTGCTCAAGGGTTAGAACACCATCACGCCATCTCCCACAGAATGTGACTGAGAGGACGGGTAGATTCCCTGTTCACTTTGAACTTGTGTGTGTGTCTGTCTATGAGTCTATTTGTCTCTCTAAGTACCTATCTTACCATCTATCTACTGTCTAGCTTTATAGCTAGCTATCTGTAATCACACAGTGTTACATGGGTGACATCTCCTGGTTAGATGACACAGTAGGACTACTTGGCTCTGCTTATTCTAGACTGTGCCAAGGGGGCCCGGTAGCATAGTGATCGTGTGTTGAGCTACTAACCACAAGATCAGTGGTTTGAAACTACCAGCCGCTCCTCAGGAGAAAGATGAGCCTTTCCATTCCTGTGAAGAGTCCAGCCCTGGGAAACCCAGAGCGGCAGCTCGCCCCTGTCCTATAGAGCCCCTATGACATGGACTCGATGGCAGTGATTGGTGATAATGTGGGTGTGGTGACGGAGGTTGAGAAAATGCTCAAAGTTGAGCAGCCATGGGGATGGGGGTTGCTGTAGAGGGCGCTGTGGGCACGACACGTGATTCTGATGGGAGGGGAGGGTTATGGAGCCCATCACTGAGCCCTAGAGCAGTAAGTCTGACCCTAAAGCGGACACAGGCTACCCGGGGTCTTGCTGCGACGTGGACTTTGAATCAGTGGGTCTGCAAGAAGGGTCGAGATACGGCCTTTCTGATGAGCCTGGGGTAATTCTGCTGCTGCTGGGGCAGGGACCATACTTGGAGTAGCTAAAGCACATTCCCCCTTCCCCACAGAGGGTGCCCCCGAAGAGGAGGTCAAGCTCAGCAAGATGGTGATGAGACTGTGGGCCAACTTTGCTCGGAATGGGTGAGGCTGGTGGCCGAGATGGAGCAGGGTGGGGAGCTAGGGGGAGCACGGGTCATCTCTCGGGAAGGGGTGGCTTTCACATTGAAGACGCTGTGACCACTGAGCGCTCTCTGTAAAGGAATGTGCTTCCCCAAAGATGGGGGTCTCGTGGCTGGGAGGTGGAGGAACCTCTTGGCAGACACGAAACCTGAGGAGGCTGCCACTTCTCAGAGGGTTGCTTCAGACCACAGCATGGCTTTGAGGGGTTTCTCTTTGGTTCTGTGCCCAGGGACCCCAATGGAGAAGGGCTGCCCCACTGGCCAATTTACGACCAGAAGGAAGGCTACCTACAGATTGGCATCACCCCTCAAGCAGCCCAGAAGCTAAAAGCCAAGGAGGCGGCTTTCTGGACTGAGGTTCTGGCCAAGAAGTCGCCAAAAGCAGGACACACAGAGCTCTGAGCGGAGGGCGCCGATGTCCAGGGAGGGCGCCGATGTCCAGGGCCATGCAGGGCGAGTCTGCCGCCAGCTTGGCGGCGGCTTCTTAATTCGGAGATACAGAGAGAGTTGTCTGGGAGGAGTGAGCAGAGACGGAGACGGGGGATTGTGTATCAAGGGCCTCGATTTTGGAAATAAATGTTGTTCTGGTGACCAGGCGGGTGTCTGTGTCTGGGGGGTTAACGCGCCCTCCCTGGAGGGCACGAGGAGCGGGACGGTGGGGGCAGTTTGAACAGTTTGAACGCGCCCAACAGTGCCCATGGAAGGAGACGGGTGCGGGACAGGCCGTTCTACTGAGGAAGTTACCAGTCAGACTCACCGGGGGGTTGACTTTGCCTCTGTCGATAAGCAGGGCCATCGGGGAGGCACGCTGCGGCACGGGCCATGTCTCAATGCCCCCAGCATCTCCCAGCAGGACTGGGGCTGGTAAGGGTGCTGCGCCCTCTCCTCAGCCATGTTGCTCCCTGACCCTGGCTGAGACGGTCCCTGGAGCAGGGTCAGCGGGTGGGGTGGTGGCCCTGTAGATGGCTGCATGGTCTGACAACCTGCTACGGATCAGGGACGCTGTCACTGCACACAGGCCCTCCCTGAGGCTGCTGCCTCCAGCTTCCAGCCTGTAGCCTCGACCAGACCACCTTGTGGACAGGGACTCCCTGCAGTGAGCCCTCAAGTATCGTCCTCACACTGCCCCTTTCAGAATCACAAGGGCAGCTTCCGACCCCTTCCAGAAAATGCTAAGGAAGGACACTCTCCCTGACACAAGGGCATGCGGGAGTGTTTCCACCCCCTCAAAACTCCGAGCTTTTCCTGATCTCACCCAACAGTCAAGGTTGTGAGACAATCCGGCCGAAAGCCAGGGGACAGGTCTTTGGAGGGGAGAGGGGATTTGCACGCACGGGTGGGGCTGCGACAGCCCAGGGGAGAAGGGGCCGCCACACAAGTGAACGTGAAAACGCATGGACCACTCGGAATGCCACGCATGGGGTCGCGTGAGCGGTCCAGCCACTGGGAGCCAGGCCCAGGAGGCCTTCAGGGATGGGGGCTGGTGCGGAGGGAGAGAAGAACAGACCTCAGCCAGGCCTCCGGGGGCCTGATGTCTGCACAGCGGGCTCCAGGGAGCGGCAGCATCTTGATGGCCCTGCACTGGCGTCCACCTTCTCCGACCCTAAGCATCCATCCGCCTCTATGGTGACTCCTCACCAGCCTTCTCTCTCTCTCTCTCTCTCATCTCTCTCAGGCTCCCACCAAGGCCCTACTCTGCGTGGGTGTCCTCCAGGTTTCTGCTAATCCTTACCTTGCTGTGTGCTCCGCCCCCTCCCCCAGCTCTGGCTCCTTTTCAGTTTCAGTTCAAAGGTGCTCCCAAGGTCTGACCTGACCCGCTGTCACTTGATACCCACTGACCTAGAGCGCAGCCCTGTCCCGGGGTCTGGGAAGGGAGACTCTGGCTTCTGAAGTGGCCACTGCTCCAGAGTGGCCCCTGGCGAGTGTCACAGGTGAGTGCAACATGGCTGAAAGGCTCTGCAAACCCGGGGCATCGGAGGGGACCATTCAAAGACACAGCCAGAAAGGGGCCTGAATTGATTTGAAGCCACTTAGCTTAACTGATCTTTCACCCACTTTCCGTGTACCTACATCATAGAGACACGTGCTGATTCTGTGGGGAGGGGGGGCTATGACGTGGAGGGAGCGAGGGGTCAACTGGCCATACTGGTGCCTCTTAAGCCCTCCAGTCCCTATCGGGCCTTCAGATGTGAGTCTGGGATGGCTGCCAGACCACGTCAGGCATTGGCAAACGTCCCCCGTAAAGGGCCACGGGGTCATTGTTTCTGCTTTGCAGCAGGCCATCTGGAGACAGTATGTGAACAAGGAGAGTGACTGGGTGGTGATGAGACATCACTTACACGAAATGGCCTTGGAGGCCGGGGGAGTACGTGTTGAGCTGCTAATCACAAGGTCAACAGTTCAAAACCACCAGCCACTCCCTGGGAGAAACAGGAGGTTATCCACTCCAGGAAAGAGCTACAGTCTCAGAAACCCACAGGGGCAGGTCTACCCTGTCTTACAAGGTCGCCAGGAGTCAGCGTTGATTCGATGGCAGTGAGTTTGGATTTGCGATTGGTCTTGTGGCTAATTGGGCCGTGGGTATAGTGTGCTCTCCGCTGCACCTGTAGGGCCACTCCTCCTTCTGGGCCCAAGGAAAAAAAAATCTGCTTTTCTTCACCTCATTGAAGGAGCGCCATGGGGCAGTCACAGATGGGCCAGTAGACAAGGTGAGAAGACCGGCCTGGGGGAATGTGAATGACCCCTGGGACTTGGCCACTGACGAACCCACCAGTGGTGTGTGGCAGGCCTCTCTGAAACCTGTCTGCCCCCAAACACACAGAGCCATGTCTGACAGTTCTCCCCTGTTCTGTCAGGTCTCTGCTGCTCCCAGCTGCCTCTGAACCCTGTCTGGGTACCTGTGCTGCCCTGCTAGATTAGGTTGGGGAAGAGGAGGTGAATACAGACCTCTGCCCTCGGGGATGCCCCCCGTGCGGCCTCCTCACTGAGCCGTCTCCTTTTTCCCTTCCTCTCTCCAGCTCGGACGTTTTTTTGTGGCTGTCATGTGTCGACTAGTGTTGCCAATTCCCAGTGATGCCATGTGCAAACATAACCCTGCCCCACGGGGTTTCTCGGCCACGATCTTAATGGCGGGAGCCCGAAAGCATAGTGCTGACACCTTGGGCTGTGATCTGCAAGGTCCGCAGCTGGGAACCATCAGCCACACTACAGGAGAGCAATGGGGCTTTCTACTCCCGGGCAGAGTTACAGTCTCAGAAGCCCCCGGGGACAGTTCTGCTCCATCTTACAGGGTCCCTGTGAGTCGGTGGCATCAACGGACGAGGTGGCAGTGAGTGAATCTCTGTGGAAAGCGATTGCCAGGCCTTCCTTCTGCGGAGCCACCAGGTGGGTTTGAACTGCCAAAGGTGCGGTGAATAGTCAGACTGAGCCCTTGACTGGCACCACCAGGGCCCTTCCGGGATGTCTGTGGGTGGAGGATTCAGTCTCACTCCTCTTTCACCTTCGGTTCTTCCAAATCTTTTTACCCCGACAAGCTGAGCTCCCGGGATTCACATACATCAGGCGCAGAAGCCAAGTGTACCTGCAGTTCTGCGTTCTGCTCCGACGTTGCGTTTCTAAGGCAGCAAGTGAGGAAACTCCTCGCCCAGTGTGGTAGTTACGTAATCTGGTGTCGATTTGGAACTTGAGAGGATTAAGAGTGTAGGGGTGGAGTCTAGTCTGTTAACCAATTCATAGCCAATGAGGCCTCTGTGTGGGCACGGCCTCCTCCTAAGGATTCTCTCTACTCACTCTCTGAGAGACACTCTAGAGATAAGACACATGGCACTACGCTGATAGACCCTGTGCCCTGGGAACTGTAGGAGCCACGTGGAGACCCCTGCCAACACTGAGATGCTTACAATGCCACTGGATCCACACGACTTCCCACCCATTGGCCTGTGATCTTCCTGTATTTGGTGTCATTGTACATGTTTTGTGAGTCTGAAGAGGACTTTATAGATTGGTAGCAGACATAGGGGGTAATGTTAGACTTATGGACTTGATCTGGACTGGGCTGAGATGTTTTCTCAACACTCAATTGCTCTTGTACATAAAGCTCTTTCTTATATTCATATTAGTGTCGATGAATTTGTTTCTCTAGTCTACCTGGACTAACACACCGAGTGGATAAGGAAACCCAGGGACACAACAACATGTGGGGTAGAAGAGAGGCAGCAAGTTCTGGTTGTTGCTGGTGTTGGTATATGCTGTCAAATGGGTTCTGACTCAGAGTGGCCCTTTGTACAGCAGGATGAAGCCCGCCCAGTCCTGCACCGTCCTCACAACCGTCCTTCTGTTTGAGTCCAGAGTTGCAATCCACTTCTCAAGGGCCTTCCTCTCTTGGGCTGCTCCTCCACCTTACCCAGCACGCTGCGCTTCTTCAAGGACTGGCCCCTCCTGACAACACGTGCTGGTTAACGAGATATATAAATATATATATATACACACACATACATATATACACACATACACATACATATGCATGCACACATAAATATTAATAATCCATATTGTCCACGAACTTTTTGAAGACGCCTCATCTAGGTTCCCCTCATTTTTATCCTGATCACAATGATTCAAAGTAGAAACCATTCCGATTTTCAGAGCAGAGACGGGAGAGAGCCTATTAAGTAGCAGACCTGAAATTCTACACTTTGATTCCAATGTATGGGCTCTGCCCACTAACCCACACTGCTCCTCTACATAATATCATGAAATATTTTAAGAATATTTTCTGATTTTTTACAAAAACAGTTTTACTGGCACTTAATCCACATATCACACACTTCATTATTTCAATCATATCAAGAAGAGTTTTACTATCAGCACCATAATCAATTTTAGAATATCTACTGCTCCCCCGCGGCCCCCCCCCCATGGTG